TGTTGTTGTTGATGTTGTTGAGTAGTTGCTTTCTTAGAGGTAAGAGTTTTGTAAATTTGGATTTTATCTTTAGAAGAAAGTGTTTTGAGTTTAATAAGAGAGGCGATAATTTGTTGTTTAGGATTTAGAGTAGTATTGAGATGGATTTTAAGTAATATTATAAAGTTACTCTGTAACAATATTATAATCTTGTAATAATTTATATATACCCACCTATATTAAAAAAGATCCAAAAAAATATTTTTCAAAGTTAAAACCTTACAAGTTTTATTTTACTTTTTTTTTGTAATTTTTTTATAAAAAATAAAAAATTTAGTTTATTTTATTAAATTTTTTTTTTTAAACCTTTGCAATATTGCAGAAAGGCAAATTTTTATTAGATATTTTAGTAGTATATTCTTGATTAATGAGAATACATTCTAACCATACCTATACCTTTTGAACATCTAATTAATTAGTCTATTTATTATTAGGATTCTACACTAGATGCTATACCTATAACCAACTATTATTTGAATTATCTAATTAAACTCTCTGATATTCTTCATTCTGCACCACTACTTTAATTACATCAGCTTATAACCTTGTACTGCTTTAATCGAAGACTATCCAGATCAATATGTACTATACTACTTAACTCTAATTCTATAGATAACCTAATAGAGTTCTTATACTACTGGATTGCTTTAGGAAGATATAGTACATACTCCTTAAATCTTTCTATATCCTACACATTTCCAGATTAAACAACGAATACCTTCTGCAGCAACTAAAACCACTATTAGCAGTCAAAACTAACTATTAACTGCACAATTTCAGTATTCAATACTCTTACAAGGTTCGTTTCAATTCTGATACTCATATCAAACCAGTCCTTATATCAATTACTCCCAAACTACCAAACAGTTAGCTCAGATAGGTTGTTGTATTTAGGATTTAAATGCCTTTCAGTTTCACTTTCCTTGGCCCTAATTTTATAACATAGGATCTTTTTCTTCAAAGCAATTCTGATGATCAGGTTGGTGGATTCTTCTTGTCCCAAGATTTTCATCTAATTCTTTGGTTTTCAATTTTCAACTTTCCATAGTATTGTTGAAGATTTTTACTACCTTCTTGCTCAAATCTTGCCAAATAGGTTTCAATTATTTTAGTTTCTTAGATTTGGATCATCTAAAAGCTTCTATTTCGAGATAGTAATATCAAGATTATAATATATCTAACCAATTATCAAATAATTATTATTAGAATTCAGGCCTAATTTTTTAAAAATGTTTCCAGTGGGATTTAAACTCTAGACCTGCCACTTGGGAGGTAACAACTTAACCACAACTCTAAATCACCATATTTTCTATTAAAAAATTAATAATTATATATTGTAATATAATAAGGAAACTGTTATTGCCACCTCCCATTTTTGTTAATGCCACCTCCTACATAACTCTAATTAACCTTTAACCTTTCTGAAAACTCTATAAACAATGCTTACCCTAACTGCTAACTAATTAATTACATGAATTCATACTATTTCTAAATACTATTTGTAGAATTTTTAAGATTTTAAACCAGTTAAGATTATATAGAAGGTGGCATTAACAAAAATAGGAGGTGGCAATAACAATTCTCTATATAATAAAAAATATAACAAACATATATAGCTAATTATAATACAGTATATATATTAATAAAATAAAATTCAATAGAGAAGAAAATAAATAGTTAGAAATATATATATAATTTTATAATTATATATATAGAATTTTTATTTTCTAGTATAGGATTTTAATATCAGATTGTTATACTATAGTTACTAAACAATAAATCAGATTTTTTAGTATAGTTAGCCATAGTTAGTTTTTTTTATAGTGTAATTATTTTTTTCTGATTCTATTAGTAATAATATTTTTTTCTTCTTTTTACTTCTTATAAAAGAATATTATCAGATTGGTGGTGTTTAATTTTAGAACAGTAATATAATAATAAATCATCCTGGTGTGGCAGATTGCTTATAACAGTCAGAGAACCAGCTGCGAGATGTCAGAGCCACAAAATTAAGTTTAAAACATGTTAGTAAAGATGGTCTTTGGGCTCTCTCTAATCGCATATGCTTAATAAATATCTTTACCGCGAGATTGCCAAAGTAAAAAAAAAAAGTTAAATTTTTTATAATTACAGTATAATTATTGTAACAAATTAAATTTGTTGATAATTTACCAATCCTTCTTAAGGCTGTGGTTTATCTGTTTATACCAAGCCATCTCTATTAGCAATTCAGTAACCAGTTTGTAAACACTATTTTTTATAAAAACCTTTTGTTATATGGTTTACAACTTCAAATTAATCATTTTCTAATCCTGAATAAGTGAATAGATAAATCAAACTATAATTAAAATATCTCGATGAGCAGTATAAATTAAACCAGTTATTAAAGCTTTATATTTATTTCACAAAAAAAAATTGGGTTTTTAAAAAATTACAACAGTGCTATAATAATGAATATTACAATAATCTGCATTTTAGTTGACTAATAGAAGTGCGAGAACCTCTGATTTTGTGAATTATTGGGCCTACCCCTTAGATACATTAATACACTATTCATTGCCCTACAATGAAAATAAATCATAAATTCGAATCGCTTAACGTGAGGGTCTAATATCGCACACTAAAAGAACTGTATAAACATATATATATAAACGAATTGAAATAAAATGAATAAAATTAAAAAAAAAAAATGAATTGATGGATTATTCACATAAGTCGTTCAACTTATAAAATTACACAATTCTTTTTGCGCTTTTGTACCGGAGCGGGGCAAAGGACAGCACGAATCGCCTCATCGAATACATTTTTCAAACCCTTTTGGGTAAGGGCAGAACATTCAAGATATCTCACTGCAGATATATCTTTGGCCATTTGTAGCCCTTGAGGATATGTGATAGGTTGTTGAGATTTTTGACGAAGCTTAAGGATGGTTTCCTTATCTTCCCGAAGATCGAGTTTTGTACCAACAAGGATGATAGGAATATTTGGTGCATGATGGGTAATTTCTGGGTACCACTATGTATAAAAAAAATATATGTGCATTAGGATACTGAATTCTAATAGGTTCTTTATGATTAATAATTTGTATGAAAATGATTTTTTTACCTTGCCCCGAACGTTTTCAAAAGAGGAAGGACTAACCAAGGAAAAGCAAATCAAGAATACATCCGTTTGAGGATATGAAAGGGGTCGCAAACGATCGTAATCTTCTTGACCAGCAGTATCCCAAAGACCAAGATTAATGGGCTTACCGTCGACCATCACATTTGCGGAGTAATTATCAAATCTAAAGTAGACATGTAAATAAACACATTCCAAGTATGAAATTTTCTACAATCATACCTGGGTTATATCACCCCTTTTTATCTCTGTATTTTTTGGGAGATATGGGATATATAATTAAATATATAAAGCATATGAAAAAAAGAAATTTATTCTGCTTAAATATGGGTATAATACTGAGGTGTTAAATAAAAGGAGGAGATATAACCCAGGTGCGACTGTATAATAAGAGATAATAATAATTCATACTTACACAGTTGGAATATATTCACCGGGAAATGCATTAGTGGTATAACTAATTAGAAGGCAGGTCTTACCAACGGCACTATAATAAATTGTTATATTAACTATATTAGCTTTCAAAACCATAAGTTTAATACATTCAATTTTTATGAATAATAGTGCTAATTTTCATCAATTGATCTCTATATTTTGTCACTAAAGCATATACACCTGTCATCTTAAGTATTATAGATTCGCGCTCTCATCTTTCTAATTTTTATCAACAAACGAGTAAAGCTCTTACAAATTCAAATTCATCAAATTGTCAACATTTCAGCTCAAGATGATGGCAAATGCATAGTGCATCTGTTCAAGATTTATGAAATGCAGAACACTTACCCATCACCAACCACAACACATTTAATGGCTTGCATTTTTCTAAGAAAGGTTAATGAAGCAGATCTATAAGCTTTCAGCGAAAGAAAAATGAACCAGGATATATATTATTTTTCTTTTTGCGTGAACAAATGAAGGAAAGGAATGAAATGGTTTCTTTCGACTGTGAAGGACGAAGCGTTTCAAGCAAGAAATAGACAGTTTTAAATGGGTGTCTGTCGTACTACAATTGTGATTAGTTTATGCAGTCGGATTATTGGGCATAGAAATGCATTAAATTTTGAAAGACATTAAAATTTATCCGCGGCGCAGCACAAAGATTTAATTTATTTGGTTGATACCGATACGGAATTCTTCATTTACCGTTACTTTATGTTGGTAATTGTAAATTAAATGGATTTGTATTTGGTTAGTGTTAATCATCATTATCGTTATAACCAGTCGTTATTATAACCAGACCGATTTAATTTTATTCTAAAAAACGATAAAAATTTGTCGTTATGTAACTTATATTACAAAAACCAATTAATCAACTCTTACAGTATATCGATCGATATACCGTAATACAGTGTAGTTTAAAATTTTGGCCCGAATTAAGCTTAATTTAGGCTGAATTAAGTTTAATTCGTGCTAAAATTTTGAACTACACCCGGGGTTATTTCGAATCACTTCATTTTATAGACGTTTTATTTCATAGACAATTAATTCATAAAGATTGTTTTAAAGACAATTTACAAACAACTCATTTCATAGACAGTTCATTTTTTATAGACAGTTTATTTCATACGCTTAAATCAGACCGGTAGATCTGTCAAAGACTGTCTAGAAAATGAACTGAAAACTGTCTATGAAATAAATTGTTAGCGAATTAATTGTCTTTAAAATAAACCTGTCTATAAATTGTCTATGAAATAAGATATTTGCAAAATAATTTTCTGTGAAGTGATACGTATCATTTCGAGATAATACGGTATGTTTATTGTGGCAGATTAAAATGAAATTTTGTATAATGCAAAATAAAATACAAAATTTTGGTTAGGGATTAGCTTTAGGGGTAGAATTTATAGTAAACAAGTATATATAAGTGGGTTTTAGAAAGTAATTAAACCCCAAATTTTATTTTAATCCGATTTTATTATAATCGATATTTATTACTGTTAAAGTTTTTTTTAGTTAAACCACTAAAGGTGGTTTAAATCGTTTGGCAAACTCCGCGATTAAAAAATTAATAATTACTAATCATTAGCGAAGCTTATTGCCCACCTATTCTATAGAATATATTAGTGCTCCGAAACGGTTAATAATTTTTACATATCAAATTTTTTCAAATTTATCGTAATTAGATTGCAAGTTTTTAAATTTTTTTCGATAGTCAAAACATATTACTTTTAATCAGTATTGCATGTCAAAGTTAGAACTATTTTTGCCAACTTCTAAAAGTAATTTAACTTTCTCTGCGAATACATTAAGTTTTTGATTCTAAATATCTTCGATTAACGCGTAGTAACTTTTACGAAATGTGATTCATGTTTCATAATTAGTCTTGGTATAGGATAGATCCAATTTAGAACCGAATAAATATATAAATATTAAAATATTGATAAATATCGTGCTTAACCTAGTCGACTGTATCTTGATTAAAAGGAAGTTTCATTAAGCGAAAGAGGACATAGTATAAAATAAATAAGGTAACACATATATACAGTGATAACGTTCAAAGAACCACTATAGTGAAGTTATTTTGGCAGGAAAACGATATTATCAATGATGGTGATTTGCTTTTGAATTATATTTATGGAATAGAAAAAATGTAAGGTTGAACAGCAGAACGAAGTTGAGTTATATTTGAGTACTCCACGGACAAACTGTTCTTAAATGGGATTATCATGTGATTAGTTACTAGCGCTTCGGTTGACTGAAGGAGCTGACTTGATGTTAAAAGAAGTAGTCTTGAAACCGATGCTATTCGTTCATGCATGTGTTTAAATTCGTCAGTTATCTTAAAGCATTAGTAATGCATTAGTAATAAAATTATGTAAATTATAAAATGCTAAAGAATGGCATAAATTATAAATTAATTGTAATTAAAAAATTATTAAATTAAAGTTTTTTTTTTTATTAGCGTTAGTGTTATTAGATATGATATGATTTTATTAACTAGTAAAACACGGGTTTTGCTCTGGCTAACCCGATCAACTACCCGGTCGACTGTTTCGGAGCACTACTTTATATATTGGTAATTTAAACTAAAATTTAAATTTAAATATATAGTAGTTAAAAATATTCTATATATTTTAATACTTTTAGATTATTTTATCTTTTTGATATTAAAATAAGATCTTATTTAAATTTTTATTAGTAATTTTTGTAACAGAAAGTAACTATTATTTGTACTAGTACAAATACTGTATAATAAAGTTAAAAATTATATACAATAAAGTAGTTCAAAATTTTTGTTAAAGTTTTTAAAAATTAATTATATATAACCAATATAAAGATTTACAAACAATTACCAACTATTTCTAATGATTTTCTAGCAACAATTTCAAAATATTGTAATTACAAAAAATATAATATTCTTAATTTTACCTTAAGTAAATTGTTGTCAATAAAATTTAAATAAATATAAAATATTAAAAAGCAAATATATTTTAGATAGTTTGTATTAGAATTAAATTTTGTTATCTTTAAATAAACTTTTTAATATATTTAGTTTCTAAATTAAAAAGATTATTTTGAAACTTATAGAAGCAAAGCTTTAGCTAAGAGTATTATAGTAAAAGTTTAAAGATATAATTATAGAATATTTATTTTTGGTGCATCCTGCATTTGATACACCTCTTTTAATATTTCAAATTTTACTAAAATAACCCCTATTGTGTAACTAATAAAAATTTTCTTCATAAAGTTTTTACTCTAACCCAACCTTTATCCTAACCTTAACTCTAATTTAATTCTTATTTATATTGATTTTACTATAGTTTGCTATAAAGTGCACTATGATATATTCTTTACCAAATATAAATTCTTATAATTATATAATTATAAAATTTATAAAAAACAAATTACAAGATATTATTAATTTTTTTAAAAGAAATATTAAAAGTAAATAATTTAGTTTACTTTTTTTAAAAACTTATTAATATATAATTTTTTAAAATAGTAATACTTTTTACTTTTTAAAATAAATATTATAAATTATAATTAAAATAAAATTAGAGGTTTTATTTAATTCACTAAAATTTACATATATTTGTTTATTATAAAATTATTACTAAACCCTAATCTTAACTTTAAAAATTCTAAAAAGTTTGCCTGTTTTATATTATTTCTATTTTAATTTAAACTCAATTTAAATTTAATTTATTATAATAAATTATTTATTTTTTAAATTTGAAGTAAAATACAAATAAATTTGACTGTATTTTTGTTTTTTTAGCTTTAATTTACTTTTTAAAAATCTAAAATAATTAAATAAAACTTTGTATAATTATATTTGAAAATAAGTATTACTTTTTTGCAGTATTTATTGTTATAGATTAAAATGAAATCTAATCAAAATGAAACTGAAGACCTCTCATTTCCACCCTTAGAGCCTATAAAACCCACATATACTCATTTATTAATAAACCTAATCCTAAACCCTATCCCTAATGCTAAAAAGAACTCCAAAAATAATAATAAAAAACAGAAAAATTTCATTTTAATCGGATTTTATTTTAATCTGTGACATTTATTTTTAGATTGTAAGAAAAAAATTTAGAATACTTATAAACTAAAATATACAATTTTAAAATTATTTTTAAAGCAAAATTTTTTCGTTTATTTATAATAAATATTTTAAATATTAATTTTAAACTCATATTTTCTAATACAACTTTATAGTTTGAATTAAGGATTATACTTTTTTTTTGGTTTTAAAGTAATCTCTTGGTCACTATCCTTTTATTAACTTTTATAGTATGTATACACTATACCGTATATATATTTGAAGAGTACAACTAGCCACATATACAACTTTTGGTTGCCTATTTAAGTAAACACCTGAAGGTTTTACACTAGCTGCTGTACCTATAACCTACTGTGTTACCCATTTAAATTCTCTGCACCTATGTATATTAATCCTCTAACCAAGCAAGAATATATTAGTACCTCTTATTTTCAGATCTCTGACTTAGAACTTTAAGACAAATTCAGCTATAGAAGCTCTTTGTCCTCAAAGTAAACCTGCTAGAGCTTTCTGTATCACAATCCAGCTAATCTAGACTTCAGTAACTTATATCAAGTCTGAGGACAAGTACTTGCGAGCCGAAGTTGCTATTATTACCTACTTCTGCTCTTGTAGAGTTTACTCAAACTTC